ACAAGGAACAAAAGTGGCCCTAAAATTGAACCCTGTGGAACTCCACTACTAACTCTCCTCCATTCAGACAATGAGTGTCTTACTCTAACCCTCTGTTCCCTTCCTTCTAAGTAAGTTTTTATCCATTTCAAGACATTTCCACCTATGCTAGCCATTGCTTGCAGCTTCCTAATAAGTCTCCCATGTGGAACAGTGTCAAACACTTTCTGGAAGTCTAGGAATATGCAATCTGGCCAGCCCTCTCTTTCCTGTAAGATTCGGCTAACCTCATCATAAAATTCTAAGTTTGTTACTGTTGATCTACCTTCTCTGAAGCCATGTTGCCTCACTGACAAAAGGTTGAAGGATTCCAAGTGAAGAGAGATATGTTTCCTTAGTAGTTTCTCCATAATTTTGCAAATTATTCTGGTCAAGGAAACTGGCCTATAGTACAGAACCATATCCCTCCTTCCCTTTTTGGAGATAGGTATCACGTTTTCTTGTTTCTAGCATCTTGGAATCTCCCCTGACACAAGTGACTTTTTAAATATGATACTTAGTGCCACTGATATTGAGTGTGCTCATTTTTTAAGTACATGGGGGGATATGTCATCAGGACCTGTAGCTTTATGAACATCTAACTGCATCAGCGCTTTGCATACCTCTGTCGTTGTAAGGTTGATGTTTTCTAATACCGGCCCTTGAGCTTCTATCTCTGCAATCTGAGGGGGTGGGGTATTTTCTACTAAAAATACTGACTGAAACTCCTTGTTCAATTCTTTGCAGATCTCTTCATCCATCTCAGTAATGCTTCCATCCTCTCTCTTAAGCCTTAAAACCTGTTCTTTTACCATCAGTTTTCCTCTGATAAAGCTGTGGAAAAGCTTGGGATTTTCTTTAGCCTTCCTGGTGATGTCCCCCTCATAGTCTCTCTCTGCCTCTTTTCTTTTACTTAGGTAGTCATTTCTTGCTCTTTTGTAGGTTTGCCAGGCATTTATGTTTTTTCTCCTCATATGCCTTTTCCAGCATTTGTCTCTACACTCCTTAGCTCTTTTACACTCATTATCGAACCATTTATCTCTAGCATGAATTACACCTACTTTGGTGACAGGCATAGAGCAATCTACTATCTTCCCATATTTCTCACAAAAGATGTCATACATTTCTTGAACAATTTTGTTGTAAAATAAGGTTCTCCAGTCAATAACTGCAAAAAGCCATTCATTTTGATGTAATCTCCTTTCGGATAGTTCCTCCTCATGTCCTCAGTGCCTCTACTCTCAGGCAAAATATATTCAATGATATACTCCTTTAACAAGACACAGTGGTCACTCTTTCCAATTGGTGGTTCATTCTCAATTTTTTCCATATCCAACCCATTATCTGTGAATACTAGATCAAGTTGTGATGGCTCATCCCCACCCCTGGCCCTCGTTGGTTCCATTACATGTTGGTGTAGGAAATTCCCTTGTACGCAATCTAGGCATCTTGCCCCGAATGAGTCTTCACCATTGTGTGGGTCAAGATTTATCCAATCTAGCTCTTTCTGATTAAAATCTCCCATAATCAAAATCCTACATTTTCTCTCCTGTGCCATGTTAACAGACGAGTTTATGACTTCAATAGTACCTATATGACTTTCCTCATAAACTTCTAGCCTATTCTGGTTCTTGGTGGGTTATATACAACAGTTATTATAATGCTCTCTGACCCAGTGTTTGTGCGAGCAATAAAAAATTCCTTGAACTCGCTTTCTATAGCCAAGTTTATTTCTTCAACTTAAATCCTTTCACTTATGAGCAGTGCTATCCCTCCACCAGTCCTCTCAGATCTTTCAACCCTTAATATTCTGAAGCCCTTAGGAAAAAATGCGACACTGTTCATGTCCTCACTCAACTTAGTCTTTGTAATTGCTACTATATCTGACTTACTGGTGTGAATCCTATCTTTTAATTCTACTGCCTTGCCATCAGCATTTGTGTATAACAATCTTAATGAGGTCCCATCCTCTGATCTTCTGTCATTATCTTCTTCATCTCCCTTTTGTCTGGAAGAACTCTGTAATGAAAATTTTTCTTCTCTTCTTCATTTCTTTCCTCATTTAACCTTCTTGCCTCTTGCAACAAGTTTTTGATCTTTCCCATCTATTCCTGTGTTCTGTATTGTCTAATGAACACTTCTTTGAATTCTTGAAGGTCTTTTAGACTTTTTTTCTCAACAATATTTCCCTACATGTTTCTCCTCTCTCAAAGGTTACTTTTGTTGGTCTCGGCTTTCCTTCCCTCGAATATTTGCCTAGTTGGTGAATGTTTACAATATCCTCAGGACCACAAACTACTCCAAGCTTTCTTATCAGGTCTACAACCCTAGCTTTATTTTCTTCAAGTCTCTCCTGCCATGTTGGCTCCTGGGATTCATTTGCCGGAGATTACCAGTGGATTCCCTTCATCAAGTGCCTGTTTAATCAGTGGATTTGCCCTTTCTTTCACAACGTCTTTCATTTTTTTTCGATTACTGTCTCTTTATAGTCAACTGTTTGTATGTTTTCCAGTGCCACCACCTTTACAGCCTCTTTTACTGCCACATTCCCCTTTAGTGCATCAGCAAAGGAAGTTTTCATGGCATCATGTTCCATATTCAGCTCCTGAAACTCTTTTCTAAACTGTTCAATGTTTTCCTTAATCTGGACATTCCAAGCTGGAATCTCGTCTCTTTCAGAAGAGAGCAGTGTACTAACATCTAATTCATTTAGGTCGTCATTCAGCTGTTTGTTTTTATCTTCTTGTTTAGAAATTCTGGTTTCTAGTTCACTCTTTTCCCCTTCCAGCTTCTGTATTCATTTTTCTAGTTCCTTTCTCTTCTGCCCTTGTGCTTTATTTGCATCCTTCAAAAGTCTTATTTCCTCTCTGAGTGTTTCATTCTCTTTCATTTCTCTATCCATATTCCTAATTTTATCATCAAGGCTTATAACCATTGCCTCTATGGGTGAGAGAATTTTGGGACAGAGATGGCCTCATTTTTATGTTTTCCCTCTCACAGAATATAGAAAGAAGAAGAGAAAGAGAAAAAACTTTTATTTAAGCTTCACACAGAATTTTTATATCTTCATATAAGTGCTATTTAGTAACTCAGTTTATCTCTTTTCTGGTAACACACAACTTAACTTAAAAATTTGACTATGGAAATTTGAGGATAAAAAGAAACAAAAATTCTAACAAAAACAAAAGCAAAAGTCAACTTGCAGGAAAATTCGAATTTGTATCTGAGGAGACACCCACCTGTTTCTGCAATATATTCTTCTTTAACTGATAAACTCACATGATAACCAATATATGTTATCTCATGATCAGACTTTACATTTAACTCTATATATATACAAAATAAAAAAAATAGGAAAAAAGAAACTAAAAGAAAAGAAAAAAATTGAAGAAAATAAGACAGCTATGCTACTTGGCAACATAACTCAGTACTGTTGACAGGTGTATTTTTTGTATTTATTTAATTATTCAATTATTTCGTGTATCAAAGTAACTAACAAGTTAATATAAATGGGAAGGATACTGATTTTAACAATATATGGAACCACAGGATCAGGTAAACGGCTTAAGAGCTCTCCCCAATTTACACAAAAAATTAGGTAATGTGATGTGATGGCTTCACCTTTGGCAACTCTTCCAAATTTCCTTCAAAGCAGAACAGGACAGCTTCTTCTCTTTCCCCTCATGAAATGTTCTCAATTTTTTGCTTTAATATTTTGGAGAGTCTCGTCATGCGACAAATATAAGCTTTTTACTCACAATACTCTGCAGGATTTCTTATTTAGGGAAATTATGTTAAAGTTTTTCACTAAGCACTTAGTAACTCAAAAACACAAGGAAAAATTTAAGAGATACTGGGATATGTGTACTGTGTGATTACCTATGTTTGTTTATTGCATATATGTATGTATGAGTATATATGCACGTGTTTAAATATGTATGTGGATATATATAGGTGTATGTGTATGTATGTGTGTACATGTGTATATGTATGTATATCTATATGAATGTATATATATATATATATATGTATGTGCATATATATAGGTGTATGTGTATGTATGTGTGTATATGTGTATATGTTTGTATATCTATATGAATCCATATATATATATATATATATATATATATATATATATATATATATATAATATATATATATATATATATATATATATATATATATATATATATATATATATATATATATATATATATGTATATATATATATATATGCATATATATATATATATATATATATATATATATATATATATATATATATATATATATATATATATATATATATATATATATATATATATATATATATATATATATATATATATATATATATATATATATATATATATATATATATATATATATATATATATATATATATATATAATATATATATATATATATATATATATATATATATATATATATATATATATATATATATATATATATATATATATATATATATATATATATATATATATATATATATATATATATATATATATATATATATATATATATATATATATATATATATATATATATATATATATAGTATATATATATATATACGTATGTATATATGTATGTATGATGTAAATATACTAGTATGTATAGTAGTGAGGATAATATGTATATATGTATATATATATATATGTGCTCATAGTATATATATAAATATATATATATATATATATATATATATATATATATATATATATATATATATATATATATATATATATATATATATATATATATATATATATATATATATATTATATATATATATATATTTATATATATATATATATATATATATATATATATATATATATATATATATATATATATATATATATATATATATATATATATATATATATATATATATATATATATATATATATATATATATATATATATATATATATATATATATATATATGAATCATTTTTTACTCGCGACCAGGACTTGAACCTAGGACTTATAAATACTAATTCAACGCGCTACCAACTACACCACAGAAGGCAAAAAGGAATCAGACCTTATAGCTTACATGTGCTATACTTAGGAATGAATGCATTCTATCTGAATGCCAATATGTTCACATTATAAATTCCCCAACCACACTCGTGGCTTCATTTTCGCAGTTAATTCAACTCCTAATCTCATTCGAGACCAAGAATAACCAAAATAAACACATTACATATGTGAAAACATGAATCAGATTTACCGCGACCGGGACTTGCACCCTAGGACTTATAATTACTAAGTCAAGCCACTATCAACTACACCACGGAAGGTTAAAAGGAATCAGACCTTATAGCTTATATCTTCTATACTTAGGAATGAACGCATTCTAACTGAATACCACTATGTTGATATTACAGATTCCCTAACCTCACTCGTTGCTTCATTTTCGAATTTAATCAATTCCCAATCTCATTTGGGACAAAGAATAACCAAATAAGCACACTACATATGTGAAAACATGAATTATTTTTTACCGTGACTGGGGCTTGAACCCAGGACTTATAAATACTAAGTCAAGGAACTACCAACTACACCATAGAAGGTTAAAAAGAATCAGACCTTATAGCTTATATCTGCTATAATTAGGAATGAACGCATTCTATCTGAATGACACTATGTTCATGTTACAGATTCCCCAACCGCACTCGTGGCGTCATTTTAGCATTTCATTCAACTCCCAATCTCATTCGGGACAAAGAATAACCAAAAAAGCACATTACATATGTGAAAACATGAATCATTTTTTAACGCGACTGGGACTTGAACCTATGACCTATAATTACTAAGTCAAGGCGCAACCAAATGCACCATAAAAGGTTAAAATGAATCAGACCTTATAGCTTATATTTGCTTTACTTAGGAATGTTCGCATTCTATCTGAATGCCACTAAGTTCATATTTCAGATTCCCCAACCTCACTCGTGGGTCCATTTTTGCATTTAATTCAATTCCCAATCTCATTCAGGACCAAGAATAACCAAATATGTACGTTAGGAATGAACGCATTCTATCTGAATGCCACTATGTTCTTACTACAGATTCCCCAACCTCACTATTGGCTACATTTTCGCTTTTAATTCAACTCTCAATCTCATTCGAGACCATGAATAACCAAATAAGCACATTACACATGTGAAAACATGAATCATTTTTTACCGAGACCAGGACTTCAACCTAGGTCTTATAATTACTAAGTCAAGGCGGTACCAAATACACCACAGAAGGTTAAAAGGAATCAGACCTTATATCTTATGTGTGTTATACTTAGGAATGAATGCATTCTATCTGAATGCCACTATGATCATATTATAGATTCCCCAACCTCACTAGTGTTTTCCTTTTTGCATTTAATTCAACTCCTAATCTCATTCGGGACCAAGAATAACCAAATAAGCACATTACCAATGTGAACACATGAACCAATTTTTGGAGCAACCGGGACTTGAACCCAAGACTTATAATTACTAAGTCAAGGCACAACCAAATACACCAAAAAGGTTAAAAGGAATCAGACATTATAGCTTATATCTGCTATACTTAGGAATGAACGCATTCTATCAGAATGCCACTATGTTCATATTACAGATTCCCCAACCTCACTCATGGCTTCATTTTTGCATTTACTTCAACTCCCAATCTAATTCGGGACCAATTATAAACAAATAAACACATTACATACGTGAAAACAAGAATAATTTTTTACCGCAACTGGAACTTGAACCAGGACTTATAATTACTAATTCTAGGTGCTACCAAGTACACCACAGAATGAAAAATGGAATCAGACCTTATAGCTTATATCTGCTATACTTATTAATGAACACATTCTATCTGAATGCCTCTATCTTTATATTACAGCTTAACCAACCTCACTCGCAGCTTCATTTTCACATTTAATTCAACTCTCAATCTCATTCGGGACCAATAATAACCAAATAAGCACATTACCTATGTGAAAACATGAATCATTTTTTACCGAGACCAGGACTTGAACGTAGGACTTATAACTAATAAGTCAAGGCGCTACCAAATACACCACAGAATGTTAAAAGGAATTAGACATTATAGCTTATATCTTCTATACTCAGGAATGAACGCATTCTATCTGAATGCCATTATGTACATATTACTGATTCCCCAACCTCACTCGTGGCTTCAATTTCGCATTTAATTCAACTCACAATATCATTCGAGACCGAAGAAGAACCAAATAAGAACATTATATATGTAAAGACATGAATAATTATTAACCGCGACCCGGACTTGAACCAAGGACTTCTGATTACTAAGTCAAGGCGCTACCAACTACACCACCGAGGGTTAAAAGGAATCAGACCATATAGCTTATATCTGCTGTACTTAGGAATGAATGCATTCTATCTGAATGCCACTATGTTTATATTACAGATTCCCCTACCTTACTGGTGGCTACATTATCGCGTTTAATTTAACTCCCAATCTCATTCGAGACCAAGAATAACCAAATAAGCACATTACTTATGTGAAAACATGAATAATTTTTTACTGCGACCGGGACTTGAACCTAGGACTTATAAGTACTAAGTCAAGGTGCTACCAACTGCACCACAGAAGTTTAAAAGGAATCAGACCTTATAGCTTATTTTTGCTATACATAGGAATGAACACATTCTATCTGAATGCCACTATGTTCATATTACAGATTCCACAACCTAACTCGTGGCTCCATTTTCGCATTTAATTCAACTTCCAATATCATTTGGGACCAAGAATAACCAAATAAGCACATTATATATATGAAACCATGAATATTTTATTACCGCAACCGGGACAAGAACCTATGCCCAATAAGTACTAAGTCATGGTGCTACCAACTACATCACAGAACGTTAAAAGGAATCAGACCTTACAGCTTATATTTGTTATACTTAGGAATGAACGCATTCTCTCTGAATGCCACTATGTCCATATTGCAGATTCTCCAACCTCACTTGTGGTTTCATTTTCGCATTTAATTCAATTCCCAATCTCATTCGGGACCAAGAATAACCAAATATGCACGATAGCATATGTGAAAACATGAATCATTTTTTACCGCAGCCGTGACTAAAACCTAGAACTTATAATTAGTAAGTCAAGGAGCTACCACCTACACCACGGAAGGTTAAAAGGAATTAGACCTTATTGCTTGTATATGCTATACTTAGGAATGAACGCATTCTATCTGAATACCACTATGTTCATATTACAGATTCCCCAGCTTCACTCGTGCTTATAATTTCGCATTTAATTCAACTCCCAATCTCATCGGCACCAAAAATAACCAAATAAGCACATTACATATGTGAAAACATGAATCATTTTTTACCGCAACCGGGACTTAAACCTAGGACTTCTAATTACTAAGTCAAGGTGCTACCAACTACACCACAGAAGGTTAAAAGGAATCATACTTTATAACTAATGTCTGCTATACTCAGGAATTAATGCATTCTATCTGAATGCCACTATGTTCATATTACAAATTTCTAATCCTCACTTGAAGCTTCATTTTCGCATTTAATTCAACACCCAATCTCATTCGGGACCAAGAAGAACTAAATAAGCATATTACGTATTCGAAAACATGAATTATTTTTTACGGCGACTGGGACTTGAACCTAGGACTTATTAGCACATTACATATGTGAAAACATGAATCATATTCTTTACTTATCATTACTAAGTCAAAGCGCTACCAACTACACCACACAAGATTAAAATGAATCAGACCCATAATTTATATCTGCTGTACTTAGGAATGAGCGCATTCTATCTGAATGCCACTAACTCATATTACAGATTCCCCAGCCTCACTGGTGGCTTCATTTATGCATTTAATTCAACTCCCGATCTCATTCGGGAACAAGAATAACCAAATAAGCACATTGCATATGTGAAAACATGGATCATTTATTACCGCGACCGGTACTTGAACCTAGGACTTCTAATTACTTAGTCAAGGCGCTACCAACTACACCACAGAAGGTTAAAAGGATTCAGACCTTATAACTAATGTCTGCCATCCTTAGGAATTAACGCGTTCTATCTGAATGCCACTATGTTCATATTACAAATTCCTAATCCTCACTTGAGGCTTCATTTTCGCATTTAATTCAACTCCCAATGTCATTCGGGACCAAAAATAACTAAATAAGCATATTACATATTCGAAAACATCAATTATTTTTTACCGCGACTTGGACTTGAACCTAGGACTTATCATTACTAAGTGAAGGTGCTACCAACAACACCACAGAAGATTGAAAGGAATCATACCTTATAGCTTATATCTGCTATACTTAGGAATGAACGCATTCTATCTGAATGCCATTATGTTCATATTACAGATTTCACAACCTCATTCGTGGCTTCATTTTCGCATTTAATTCAGTCTCAATCTCATTTTTGATCAAGAATAACCAAACAAGCTCATCATATATGTGAAAACATGAATCATTCTTTACCTCGACCGGGACTTGAACCTAGGACTTATCATTACTAAGTCAAAGCGCTACCAACTACACCACAGAAGATTAAAAGGAATCGGACCTCATAATTTATATCTGCTATACTTAGGAATGAGCGCATTCTCTCTGAATGCCACTAAGTCATTACAGAATTCCCAACCTCACTGGTGGCTTCATTTATGCATTTAATTCAACTCCCAATCTCATTCGGGAACAAGAATAACCAAATAAGCACAATACATATGTGATTACATGAATAATTTCTTAAAACGAATGATATTTGAACCTAGGACTCATAGTTACTAGGTCAAGGCGCTACCAACTACACCACAGCAGGTTAAAAGGAATCAGACCTAATAACTTATATCTGCTATACTTAGGAATGAACACATTCAATCTGAATGCCACTATGTTCATATTACGGATTCTCGCAATTTCTCTCGTTTCTTCATTTTCGTATTTAATTCAACTCCCAATCTCATTCAGGACCAAGAAGAACCAGATAAGGATAT